GAATTATGTGATATGGCCCACACTGTTCCACTAGAAGCAAAATGCTTCAGATGTCATTCATGAGGTCCTGCACGAAATTCAAATAAAGGACCCCGCACACCGCTTATGGAAAAGTGGCGACCTGTTAAATGTCATAAATTTTTGATATGCTGCAGTTCTCGACCTTTTACGAATCACCCTGTATAAATGACACCGATTATATTTTTTAATGTCATCAGACATGATAAATAATAGCAATAATTTATTTTTTAGTAAATATTTTCACCTTCTAGAACAATAAAAGTATTTATCAAAAACATGTCCTTACTTATTTACCCTGTAATGCCAAAAAATGTTGCAATAACATTTTGAACAAAAAATTATAATCAAATAGCTTTCTCCTGAAATAACCGTTATCAAATAAGTGGTATTTCTTAAGTTTAACACCCTGTATCTCAGAAACCAGACATATGATTTGAATGGTCCCATGGACACATGCATGGACACTATTACTTAAGAGGTCGAGAACTGCAACATTTATGACATTTTTAACAGGTCGTCACTTTTCCGCGCGGGGTCTTTTATCTCAGTTCTTCGTACATATACCTTCTTAGTTCTTCATCTTGGGCTTCCTAGCCTCGATGATAAACCTTCTGCGACAGTAAAGCCCAACAAACCTATTGCGCGAGCCTGCGGCAAGTATGGAGGATTATCGTTTCTGGGAACAAAAAATAACGTATGTCCCAATAGTTTTGGCACAAAATATTTAACAGTATATTTTTGTAATAAGTCACTTTATTTTAACTTTTATTATTTGCTATAATTAACGACTTAGTAACTGACAAAATTATGAACCTAAACTAAATAATGGGGTCCGTGCGCAATTTTCTGCGAACGTTGTTTATTAGGTCCTGGACGACTACAACATCTATTTCGCGTATCTTTCTAAAAATTCTACGCCGTAGTTGTTCCTCATTTTCGGCTTGCGACCGTCCATCATACACTCTGCGAGATAAAAGTGCCCAAAAATCTTCAATTGGGCGGGCCTGAGGTAAATTAGGGGGAATGTCTTCTTTTGGTACAAGAGGTATGTTATTTTGGTGAAGCCAATTTTGAGTTGCTCTTGCATAATGGCATGACGCTCCATCGTGATGTTGGTGTACAAAAGCAACTAATTTAGTGAGGCAATTGTTAATATACCTTTCGGAATCAATAGCTTCCCCCTTACTCGACCCACATAACGTCTAGAAATCCCCCTAGTCGAAATCGCACACCAGACCAAAACTTTATCAGCGAATTTTGCTTTTTATTTATATTTTACATTATTTGGGCACTCTTCATATCTGTATAAAAACCATCGTTTCCTTTGATTTCCGAGTTGGCAAGTGTAAAATACTTTTCATCGTCTATAATAATGAATCTCATTTGCAAAATGTATCCGCCTTAGTTGACGACAGCATCTTGGTATCCGTGCTAACTGATTTGGGGGTATATTTAGGACACTTGCGTCTTTTTCGATATTTTTGACCATTTCTTGCTAATTCCCGAGACACTGTACTCTTTAAACAACCAAATTGACATGCTAATTTTCTTATGGAAATCCCTACTTGTCTTTTGCTCTACTTACCAATCTTCCTGCTCTTTCTCGGGTAAAAATTCTTGGTTTTCCACTTTTTCGAAGATTTAGACAAGGTATTCCTTCTTCACATTCGGCAATATCACGGTAAATACTTCTGCGTGAAATATTTTGGTTTTGAAAAATGCGAACTATTTCAGCCTTAGGAATCTGTCCAACCAAATTATAAATACTATTCCTTATTTCTAACTTATAAGACATTTTAATGCATCTAACATTAAAAATAATTTGTCTAAAAAATGTCAAAGAGAATAAACAATATTTTGGTTCCAAAGCCATTTTGATATTTTATCATTATAGCTTATTTTTAGATTCCTAAATTTTGTGCTAAAACTATTGGAACTATTGGGACGCGATGCCAAGGTCTGGCCAAAACATGATCGTCATCAGTACCTATAGCGAACAAACTGAAGCAATTTAGAAAGGCAGTTCTCAATATATTATAGCTCTGACTCTTCATAGCTTTACCTCTTACTCCTTCCACAATAGGTCGGAATATACTCTTGCTAAGATTTGCGAACAAGGATTTTATCCGCAAATTTCGCTTTATGTTTGTGTCTAACATTGTCAGGGCATTTCTCTACGTTATTTGTATAAAACCTATCCTTTCATTTCAGAATTACTCAAAGTGAAATACTTTTCGTCATCTAACATAACGATTTCCCTATCAGCAAAGTGCACCCGCGCCAGTTTACGGCAGCATCTTGGTAGTTGCTCTTGAGTGTATTTCACTTACGTCTAGTCTTGCCACCTGTTCTTTTTTCAAGCAAAATGTCCTTGCGACTTTTTAAAGCTTAAAATGTCCTTTTTCAACGGCATATGTCCTGTACCTAGCTTGTCAAGGCGAGAACCTTTTTTTTTGAAGCTCGGTAGAAGGACGGGACTTTTTTTGTTACACACACGACGACCTTTTTCTTTTTTTTTTTTAGAAGCTCGGTAGACGGACGGGATTTTTTTTTGTTACACACTTGTCGATCTTTTTTTTTTGATGTTCAGTAAAATGAGGACCTTTTGTATACCGGATCCCCTATCAGCATCATAGTCCTTTTTGCATTTTTCAAAAAGGTGTTAACCCTACTTACGTTTCTTTCGATATCCGAGACCGTTCCTGTTCAATTCCAACGATACCGTACTATTAGAAGTGCCGTATTGACGAGCGAGGCTCGTAGTTGATATCCCAATTTTGTTTTCTGCTCTTCTTACTAACCTCTCTACCTTCTGTGCTATAAATACTCTAGTTTTTGGGGTATTCACACATGGTAATCCCTGCTCGCAGTCCTCTTTTGCTCGATAATTGGTTCTGCGTTCTGCGTGAAATATTCTCATTCTGGAATATTCAAAATATTTTAGCTTTGGGTACCCGCGCAACCAAGTTGTAGATAATTTTCTTATTTCTAATGTATACTACATCTTAAAGCCAAAACTTCAAAATACATAACTGTCAACTGACAGTTAACAAAAACCGTTTTAAAGCGATGAACCAGAAATCACCATGGTTATACCCTTGGTTAACCTTGAAATCACGTGACTAAAGCCCTAACACAATAACGTTAAATGGTTTTTAACACATACTTTGATTTTCTTTTACTATACGGAGAATGGTCGCACTGCGCAGCTTTCTGAGTGCCTTTTAAAAGGAGATAGAAAACTCCGCCATTTTGAACCCTTATTACGTGTTGCCTACATCTTGGCGCAATATTTTTAATAGGTGCGTTCACATACTTTGATTACTATACGAGGCAAGAGAGAGGTCCGACACGCCCAACATAGGGAGCGGCCATTTTGAACCCTGTGACACAGTTTACAGCTAAAGAATGAGATCGCTCACTCTGCGTCGGCACTTTGGATCTCAATGTTTCAGTTTATATACTGTGCACCTCGGATAATACAATATATGACAACCGCCTATAATAAAATAGTAGTCTTCTGCGTATCCTGAATTTGTATCCCTGGAGTGGATGTTATTTTGGAACTTTCAACTGGTCCGAGTGAGCTAACTGATTCTTTATCAATAAACTGTGACTTCAAAAATAATATTCACTGACACTGACAGCAGCAAGCAAAATATCAGGTGCGTTTTAATCATCCGCTTCTGCTTCCGGAATTGTCGGTTTAGTCGTTTTAACCTGTCAAATTAAAACAAGAAAACTGACAATTCCGAAGCAGAAGCGGATGATTAAAACGCACCTATTAAAAATATTGCGCCAAGATGTAGGCAACACCTAATAAGAGTTCAAAATGGCGGAGTTTTCTATCTCCTTTTAAAAGGCACTCAGAAAGCTGCGCAGTGCGACCATTCTCCGTATAGTAAAAGAAAATCAAAGTATGTGGGTGCGTTTTAATCATCCGCTTCTGCTTCGGAATTGTCGGTTTTCTTGTTTTAATCTGACAGGTTAAAACGACTAAACCGACAATTCCGGAAGCAGAAGCGGATGATTAAAACTCACCTGATATTTTGCTTGCTGCTGTTAGTGTCAGTGAATATTATTTTTGAAGTCACAGTTTATTGCTAAAGAATCAGTTAGCTCACTCGGACCAGTTGAAAGTTCCAAAATAACATCCACTCCAGGGATACAAATTCAGGATACGCAGAAGACTGCTGTTTTGTTGTAGGCGATTGTCATATATTGTATTATCCGAGTTGCACAGTGTATAAACTGAAATATTGAGATCAAAAGTGCCGACTCAGAGTGAGCGATCTGATTCTTTAGCTGTAAACTGTGTCACAGGGTTCAAAATGGCCGCGCCCTATGTTGGGCGTGTCGGACCTCTCTCTTGCCTCGTATCAAAGTATGTGGGTTTTTAAGGAATATGACAAGAAATTTTGACATTTAATTTCTAGGTTAATTTTATGAAACTGGCCGGAATAAAATTGTGTGATGTTGATATGTTACCAAAAAGAGTTAATTTGTGTAGACTGGATGTTACAATTTAATAAGGAACAGTTTAACATGTTTTTACATGGTGTCAGAAGAATTTTTTGATAATTTATGTAGCTAATTTCATTTCCAATTTTGACTAACCAAAAAACACTAATTGCATGTCACTTCCACTTGTCATTATTAACCCATGTCTGGACTCAGGTATTTACCAGTTATAATTAATGACGTTTTAAAGGGCTTAAATATGACGTTATAGAAAGTAACCAAAGATAACAAACATCGCTTTAATTAAAATGGTAAATACCGCAAATTACCGATTGTTCGCTTTAAAACGGTTAAAGCAAACAATCTTTTTGTTTCCAAACTGAAGGCTATGTTCCAAATACATTTTATATTTTTTATTTTTGTAAAAATTAAAGCCAATTAATTTTGTGCCAAAACTTTTAAGACATGTAAATTCTAAACACAATAAAGGTTGTTATAGGAATTTATTTATTTTCCAGATACTTAGAAAGCAGGATAGCTCTAAGTTTTCGCACACGTCTGGTGGATCATTCGTACAAGCTCTACTTTAAGAACCAAAGTTACTACAGAGTGACAGTTCTCGACGGTAGACTAGACAATTGCTCGCAACGCCTTACGGATGACATTGAAACGGTAGCCAACACCGTTTCCCGTCTTTACAGCCAAATAACAAAACCATGTTTCGATATACTTCTGATGGCGCTAGCATTAGGAAATTTAGTGAAATCTCGGAATTCGAACCTCATCATTGGACCTGTGATCATATCCGGTGTTGTACTCTTTTCAGCTTTAGTTTTAAGGTTGGTATTCATAAAATTTATCAGCCTTTCCCCTTCTTATGACCCACTCCCCATTACAGATTAGTTTCTCCAAAATTCGGCCAACTCGTAGCTCAGGAGGCCGAAAAGAAGGGCTATCTTCGTCACGTTCACGGTAGAATCGTGAGCAACGCTGAAGAGATCGCTTTCTATGGAGGTCACAAAGTCGAACAAAGCCAGTTAAGGCAGGCGTACGCTTATTTAGCTAAACACATGGAACACATGTTCGGAGTAAAATTATGGTTCATTATGTTGGAGCAGTTTTTGATGAAATACGTTTGGTCTGGAGCAGGTAAGCAGAATTTTTGTTTCATGCTACAATTAATTTTTCGTAATTACCACTTTTTTATTGACAACTAAATGTTGAGACGGTAAATGAATCTCAGAGTAGTACAGAGAGGACAGTAAACGTTTGTGTCGCCTTGATAATATGGTCGAGAATCGCTTCTGCTTCGGAATTGTCGGTTTTCTTGTTTTAATCTGACAGGTTAAAACGACTAAACCGACAATTCCGGAAGCAGAAGCGGATGATTAAAACGCACCTGATATTTTGCTAGCTGCTGTCAGTGTCAGTGAATATTATTTTTGGAGTCACAGTTTATTGCTAAAGAATCAGTTAGCTCACTCGGACCAGTTGAAAGTTCCAAAATAACATCAACTCCAGGGATACAAATTCAGGATACGCAGAAGACTGCTGTTTTATTATAGGCGGTTGTCATATATTGTATTATCCGAGTTGCGCAGTGTATAAACTGGAACATTGAGATCAAAAGTGCCGACGCAGAGTGAGCGATCTGATTCTTTAGCTATAAACTGTGTCATAGGAATCAAAATGGCCGCGCCCTATGTTGGGCGTGTCGGACCTCTCTCTTGCCCCGTATAGTAATCAAAGTATGTGATATGGAGTTTAAAGGAAAGGAGGATAATCCTTCGAGCATATATGGATAATCTCAAATGATTGTATATCTTAAAAGTGCCTACCCAACACCAGTAAATAAGGTTTCAGAAAGTGACCACCAGAATGGCGCTCGTGTACTAGAAGAGAGGGATCTAATGATATATTGCTTATCGATATGTAAATCAGTCGACGAAAAGCTCTATTGTCGTCTATGTCAAAATTTTTCTTCGGTTATAAGTTCAGTTGCTTTTCACAATGTAGTTTTTAGGCTATATCCTCTTATTTAACTATTGATGAGCAATCTATATAACTATAGACATCATTAGTGTGATTGTGTGATCTGAATATGAAGACTATATCTAGTTTTCATGGGGTGGGATTCCGTTCTGTGTCGAGTAACTCGATCTCGAAAGGATTCATAATTCGATCGAATAAATTGTAATTATTTATTAGTTTTTATGCTTATGGGTGGGATTTTTCAGGGGTATCCTCATCTATAATTCAAATGACATCTGTAAGTTGCCTCGGAGAGCCATGGAAAATAATAATAGTCATCCCTCACCGGGCATAAACAACTCTGCATTCAGAGTTGCAAGGATCACTCATAATGGGTTAAATTATAAAAATAGTATTATTTATTATTATTATTATTAGGCTAAAGAAAGGATGAGTTACAAAAAAGAAACGATCCTTTTGAACTTCCAGAAAATCGTCGTGGAGAACTTTTTCAGCTGAATAAAGAGAACTTATAAATGTTTATATTTTGTAGCATTTTGTATAATAAATAATCCTTTCATTGATATTCTAAGGATATAAAAGACCTCTGTTGCACGATAGGTTATCCAGAAAAGGCATTGCCAGAGACATAGTTATGCCCTGGAAACTAAATTCCTTTCTTTTCCAAAATTTTAAGCCACAGGCTTATTATTTAACCTCATACCTAATGTCAGAATAATCCAACTTTAACGTTTTGATATGGAATGGACTACTCGTTAAACGGAATTGCTTTTATGGAGTTTGATATCAAATTCGAGTCGAATCGTGAAACGGAATCCCTCCCACCCCTGAATTATCGACTGTCACAACTTTCGGCGTCCTTCTAGTACAGTAATGCCACCTTAATTTTATACATTTTAAGGGACACTTTCATTAACCCTGTCAAATCACCTGGCCTACAGGGTTGCCATATCATAATTTGTCAAAACCCACTGGTAGCTATTTTGTTTGGAATGCTTAATACTATTAAATCATTGAATTTCTCTTTTGTTCGATTTAAACGCGAATATGCCTCGCTTATTTTTGATGAATGATATCAAACATACATTTATCGGCTAGAGACAATAAAAAGACAACAATAATTATTAATTACATTGTATGTATTACCAAATCATGATAAAGAATGCCCCTTATGGGTCAAAATTAAATCAAGGATTTTTACTTTACCTATAAGCGATGAAATTAATAAGTTAAATCAATTAATCAGTAATGTGAAACTCAAGACTAGTACATCTTGCAACACTTTGTGCAAAGTAGCTCAATGCAAGTGCTCACCTTGATCCTTTCTACAGTCAATCTAACTTTGTCATTGAATCGAATGGCTTTTAACTTTAAAATTTATTTTCTTATTTTTAGGTAAAAAATTTGATTTCATTGAAAGCAGTCTTGAAATGTTTGTTTTGTAGGTATTTATTTCTCGTTTAAGTAAAGTCAGACTGGTTTTAGTATCTGGTTGTATCTTAATTTTACGGATCTATAGACGGTTGAGATACCTAGTGAATTTTTTTTGTAGAACTAGGTAGTCTTATTACTTTTTTATGTTGACAGCTTTACAGCTTTGTTTCAAAAGTCGTTCTTAAATACTGATGAGATTAATAATTAAGGTAGGTATAAAATTTTCCACTGATTAAGAACATTCATCATATTTAGATGTTTATTATATATTTACGTGGTACCTATTACATAAATTAAAACTAGTTCTTGGTGATAAATATATTGTTTACCATTTATCTTTATTTATTCGATATTCGTAAAATTATTAGTTTCAAGTGAGATCTCGTGTCTTAGAACAGGTTTAAACATTTTTAGTAAACGAAAAATGTATCCGGTCAATCGGATCATGATCATTCATTAAACTTGACCTTTGGACAAGATCGGTTTAAAGTAGGTAAGCGACTGCAAATAAATTTCATCTTTTTCTTTCAATGAAATAATTAACTATTGATTGAAATAAATCGGGACCGATATTTATGAGAGTAAATGTCTGTTCCAAAACACGCGAAAACCATAATATTGCGGTACAAATTATGCGAAGTATACAATTTTTGCGTAGAGCGAATGATTTGTACCGTAATGTTACGGTTTTCCCTTGTGTTGGAACAAACCTATGTATCTACATGAAAAATTTGTTTTAAGCGATTATAATTCATGAATCGTTAAATGAACATAAATGAAACTGAAAACAAAATTTTAGAAATCCCCTACCTTTGCATATTGTTATAAATATTTTTTTAAATCGATTTTTCGCGATAACAATTAGTTGTAGTAGAAAATATTAAGTACAAAAGTTGAAGTCAATTATATTTTCTACAATTTATCTTATTGGGTCACTACTCTCTGATGATAAATACAAAAATTAGAGGATGTGAAAGTTCACAAAAACTCGTTTTTTACCTTTTCGACCCAAAAATATTAAGGGGTTAGGTGTAGTCAGAGATATGAAAAAATTACAATTTTAAATAATTTTTTTTGCCAGTAAATTATTTTATTTTATAAAAGTAAAAACATAGCATCTTTAAATAAAGTTTCGACTTCAGTTCCAACCGAAGCTCCTTGCGGTGACCATCACTTATCCTTGGAGATTCATCTAAAATCAATCGGACAAAAAAAATATTTTTATTAATAGATAATCTAGTGCCTGATCGAAGGATTTTTTTTTGTTTTTTAGTTTCGATTTTTTATAAACAATTAACTGTTGGGTTTTTTCCCGAAAATCTGGAAAACATTTTCCTGATGCCGCCATTTTGTTAATTAAAAAAAGCTTTGATCAGACACTAGATTATCTATTAATAAAAATTTTTTTTTGTCCGATTGATTTTAGATGAATCTCCAAGGATAAATGATGGTCACCGCAAGGACCTTCGGTTGGAACTGGATCAACACAAACAGCCCATTACTTTTAAAATTATTATTTTTTTTTCTAAAATTTCTGTCAAGTCGAAACCTTATTTAATAATGCTATGTTTTTACTTTTATAAAATAAAATAATTTACTGGCAAAAAATTATTTAAAATTGTCATTTTTTCATGTCTCTGACTACACCTAACCCCTTAAAATGCCACGATCTCGGGATAGAGATAACCAAAACCTTATCGGACTCAGATATAAGCTAGGGACACTTAGAAAAGCAAAATGACACCAAAATCATGGTACCTTTTGTGGTTCCCGAGATATAGAATTCGGTCGAAAATTTAAATGAACGAAATCTCCTATCAAACGTAAAAGTTCAAAATAATGTTCAATCCTATAAAGAATCCGTGGACTCGTAATATAGTATTGAAACCTTCTCACTCACCTCTTCCTTAATAAGGGTATCATTTTTCTAGAGTTTACATTTTTACGTTATTTTTGAGAGAACTTATTTTAGCTATAACTATGTAAATTGCAAAAATTATGCACTCTACTCTCACCTCGTTCCTCACCCCCTTTCTTAATGAACATATGATTTAAACATAGTTAAAAATACAATTCTATTGAAAATGTATTACTTATTTTTTTACCATCATACTCAAAAACCTTGAAAAATAAAACATTTGTATTTTGTGCCCATAAATCAAATAAATTGCGGTGATTAATTCGATTTTTTTTTTGAATACCTGTAGTGAATAAAAGGCTGAATGGGGTAGAACTATTGAATAAAAAAAGTTTGCAAATGGAATCTCAGAATCATGCAAACATTGTAAGAGCAATTAAACTGCTTTCCGACTATTGGTTTCGATTTTACACCTATTTTAAAAAAAGGTCCCTTTTTTGTATATTATCCCTTTCGCCGACAAAAAAATTGCTATCGTCTTAGAAGAAGAAAACCCGCGTTTAAGCTTTAGTCAGAATTTCGTAAAAATTCGATAACATGGCTGAAATCCCTACACCGGAAAAGAAAATCGAACGACATTAGCTGGTTGCAAAATATTTTTTTTTAATGTTAGATGCCAGTTAAAAAGAAAAACCCATCGATGAGCAACTTTACTTCGAATTTCACATGTCACATGATCGCTTCAAGCACATTGCATTCTCACTCTCCTCCCTTGTACCCAACTACAAATGCAGGCAAAAAAAGCGATCTGTCACTTTTTGCAGTTAACTGAAGGACTATCAGTAATAGTACTCTGATGCGGCCA